TAGTATATACAGTACATTTACATATTCAATGGCCATCAAAGGATTTGATTGCATGCTCAAATAGTATGCTTCTTTCCTCCCAATGGTTATCAAAATTGCCCTGCAATAGCCCAAGCTTCTAACTTTTTATTCAGTTGAACGAGACAAAATGACAAGTAAGACTCACTTTGGGGAAAGGGAGGAACCTCGTATACTATTGACTTGGAATTATTCTGATAAGCTCAATGTCAAACGGGAGAGTTTTATCTATTAATCCTTGATTCCTTAGAACGAAATATAGAGCTCTTTGTCCCTGTAGGAAAAATAAGGTGCTTTTGTTATGTAATCATCAAAATTATAGAAAAAAAATCTATTTTCTGGGAAATATATTACCGAAAATGTTGTTGGTTTTGGGCCTAACTTGTTCAAGTCATTATCTGGGTATCCAATATCCGGTTATACTATCATCCTGGAGTGTGTGAGCATCAATAATATGGTTAAAAGTTGTGTTCATACGTTTAGAAATCGTGGTTACAGAAATATGGGACTGACCTTCTAACTCCACCTGGCAGCATGCCTTTCATAGCCTCCTCAAAGGCTGGTATTACCTAATTCATGTTATTAAGAATGCAACTTGTCAACAAGTAACAAATAGTAGAATCAGACTACACAATGAGCGCAAACTTCTAATTGTAATTAAGTGTAAGCGTACTACTCACCCGAGTTTTAATGAAGTTGCTGTTTTGATCACAGACAAAGTTACTTTGAAAATAGTAACTACCAATATATTTGAAGCGTTTAGATTGGATACTAGCAAGTTTTCGAATATATAATTTTGTGGTATTTAGAAATATATAATTACAGAAGTTATTTGTCAAAGTTGTATGTTGGAGATCATACAGACGTCCAAAAATGGTAACCCTAAAGCCACGCCTCTTGCCAATGGACACAAACATCATTCATCAGATTCGTTTGTGTCTCTCAAATTGTGTAGATCATTGGGCTTGGCACTATGAGAAGACATGCTCCTTTTCACTGTCAGATCATGTTACAAGTTGCTCGTTGACACAAAAATTCAGCACGAAGCTTGGATTAATGGTGAAATAGAAAACTCAAGCTTTGAGCTACGGGAGAGGGGGTGGAAGCGTCTTTGGAAAACAAAGGTTCCGCTGCAAATCCCCATGTTCGCATGGAGACTCTCTCGGTCTTCTCTAGCGACGGACGAGGTGTGAGCTCACCAAAATATGAAGCCATCTCCGGCCTATACAATCTGTAATATTGCTAATGATACTTGGAGTCATTCACTCCTCGACTGTAACATGGTGGAAAGTGTTTGGGGATTGAGAGATGATGATTCTTCATTGCCGATCTATGGAGATACAACACCAGATGCAAAATTATGGCTCTCCAGGTAGAGTGAGACGCTGAGAGTGAGAAGTTCATCGAAATCCTAGTTACTCTGTGGGCTATTTGGTAGGCTCGGAGGCGCATTATATATGAGAATGAATACCAGACTCCACTCTCGAACCACACATTCATAACCAGATACAGTGAACAGATTACCACACTCGGAACGGCTATGCAGGGGCCAACACCGATCAGACACCGGGCAACGCCACGATGGATTCCTCGGTTACAGGGGTTCATGAAACTAAACGTCGATGGAGTAGTGGCAAACAAGATAAACCAAGGGGCAGTAAGGGTCGTTTGTCGTGATGAGCATGGCACGTTCCAACGAGCATCAACGGTAACGTATGCTGGGATCACGCACCCTAAACTACTAGAGGTCACATGGGAAGCCGTTTCTTTGGAAGACGACCTAGGCCTTTATAAGATTGACATATCATCAGACTGTCCGAGAGTCATCCGGGAACTTGAGTTGCCAAAGAACTTCGGAGGTCACTACATGGTTCTGCATGACATCAAGGAAATGAGTAACTCTTTCGGGTCATGCAACTTCCACCACAAGCACTGCAACAGCAACACGGAAGCACAGAGATTAGCAATAATGTGTTCTCCCTTCATGTGGGATGATACGTTTGGCTAAAATCTCCTCCAGAAAATGTGTGTATCCCTGTAAACTTTGATACTACATAATAAAGTCGCATTGTTTCATCTATAAAAAAAGCAGACACAGGCTGCCCGCTGAATCTCTGCTTACGAACCTGTGACAGCTTTGCTACAATTTCAATCGGATGAACCTAATAGAAAGGGCCACAATTCAGAAAGAAATCCGCCCCACATCTCACCCCTACAAGATGTGGAGATAACATTTTCTGGAAGCAGAATATGACATGGGAGTTTGAAAGGTGAACCGTGGGCAAGTCATCAAGTAGTTCCTAGCTACAAAAATAGCCGATGTGCTGCTACTTTTCCTGATCCTTCCCAACCCCATAGTATGCTTCGATAGAATACCAAGTCCTTGTTCATCTTGTAGGAGTAACAAGCATAGAGTATTGCGCTGGCACCATTGGAAAAAGTGTGGCATATATATTGATATGCCACATACAATGTAGGCCACGTCTCTAAATTAGAAGAGTAATGTGCTTGACTCATAAATATGACAGGCTGATGTATCTTGAGTAGCACATGGTCATTATGGTACTGGAGTGTTGTGCTTGTGTTCAGTGGTGGCTCTCAGTGAGTCAGTAGGAGGAGTTCCTGGAAAGGTATTTGCTATGTGTATAAAAACACATGTATTAAAATTGAAAGCGTGAAACAAGTGTGAACAAATGTGCAAATTACCTTAAAATTAAGACACTAATTAACAACTTCACCATTCAGGCAAAAGGATCACCTACTCATGAGTAGGGCCATATGTGGACCAAGTGAAAAGGTTCCAAAGCTATAACCCAAAAATATTTAAACCCAGGAAGGTCAAAACTAAGGTCACCCATCTCAAGAGAATACACGAACAGTTATCCAATGCCCCCTACCCATGAGAACTCAAGCCACACTGCGAAATTTCCATGGTATTCGGCGCCAAAAGAAAGCCATGTTCTTACAACACAACTATAGTCAATTGTATTGGCTCCACAAAAATTGTTGCTGCCGACTTCACTCCCTCACTGCTGAGACACAGCGGTCGTCACTCCGTCGGTGTTGATGGTACAACGGCAACTGACGAGGACTCTATGTCCAAGTCCATGCATAGGACGGCAGCCCGCAACCTTGACTTCAAAGGTTATTCATGCATGTACGCGATGGCTCCATACTTAGTGTATCCTGCCAAGGCCAAAGGACAGAGACATTTTTATAATGGCGTCTATACGGCTGGAGCATACGGACAGGGAGTTTTTCTCCCTCCATGGATGGCGGTGTAATCTCTGGATAGGAACTGCCGCACCCTAGGTTGGATTGACTTATTTTTACTATAAAACGATATTTATTTTTGGGTCTGTTGGACTTGTTGGCTGTGTGCATCTCTCTATGCAAAGGCCAGGCATTTTTTCGATTTGGTTGTATGACCTCGATATATCAATTCAATGAAATGTCCTTTATTTTAAAAAATAGGTATATGATATATGCTGTTTAGACCACAAATTCAAATAAGAATAGTAATGTGCACGAGTCATGGGTGCGACAAACACACCAGGCTAATGCTATCTTTGGTAACACATGTACATCATAGTATTGTAGTGTTTTGTGTTCATTGATGAATGCAATGTTCTAAAGCGAAGTTGATACAAGGAGTTACTAAAAATCTCATTCATAGAAATTTAATGAGTGAGGGGCCCAAACATGAACAAATGTGTGACTAAGTATAAACACAACAAGTAAAAACTTCACAGGTTGGCACAAAGATGACCTAGAATGAATAGGACCTTAGATCAAATGACACGAGGTTTGGAAGCTCTGAATCAAGATCATTAAAGTTAGAGAAGGTCAAACCTACTATCACAATATATTTGGAAGAAAACTTAAAGCGGGAAAACTGAAAATTCAGCACAAAGGATCAAATGTTGGTTGCCGGCGAAATTTGGTATCTAGAAATCCAGTCCTCTCATTGACAGAGTTAAATGATATGGTTCGAACACAGAAATTCTGCAACAATGTCTCATGAAACAGCATGATTTCGCACACAAATTTGGGGAAAACGTATCTTCAGATTCGAGCGTAAGACATGCACACATAAGGGAGATAAAATAAAACAGGATAAAACACAGAAGAACAAATGACTATGAGATAAATTTTGCACTATACTTGCTGCGTTAATTTGGCAGATAAAAAAATACACACTGGAGAAAATATCAGGGAAAATCCACTCCGTATGCTTGATTCATGAAATTATAATTCAAAATAAACACAATTCGAGACAGTGTCCAGTCAAATTTGATTACAGATTATGGTCATGCCACAGAGGCTGAGGCTTTCAGCTCCTAGACATGGCGAAAAATTAAGAGCAAAAGTATTGAAGCTTATGTTGTTAGTTGCTCATGTTCTCTCTTGAGTGTATTATGGATATGTGGTTCCCTCTCTAACCCTAAGATATAGGCTTTAACATTAATCTAAGTAGTGTGCAAAAAAGGCAGGAAAATGCTGCATCCTTTTTGGAATATTACATAATTTTTCGTGTGGCGTAAGTTATGTGATGTAAGTATTTATCTATTAACCCAATCTAGGGAGTGTGAAAAAGTTGTCTAGTTCAAGAATGATAGGATCTATCTGGTTGCACTTAAAAATTCTTCTTAGTACTCCCTCAGTCCCAAAATAAGTGTTTTAAATTTGCACTAAGGTTGAGACACTTATTTTGGGACGGAGGTGCTATTTTTCAGTAACAACAAAATGGGTCCGCGATATCAATGTTTTTTGTTGATACTCAAGTATATGGTATATACAGTACATTTACATATCCAATGGCCATCAAAGGATTTGATTGCATGCTCAAACAGTATGCTCCTTTCCTCCCAATGGTTATCGAAATTACCCTGCAATAGCCCAAGCTTCTAACTTTTTATTCAGTTGAACAAGACAAAATGACAAGTAAGATTTACTATGGGGAAACGGAGGAACCTCGTATACTATTGACTTGGAATTATTCTGATAAGCTCAATGTCAAACAGGAGAGTTTTATCTATTAATCCTTGATTCCTTAGAACGAAATCTAGGGCTCTTTGTCCCTGTAGGAAAAATAAGGTGCCTTTGTTATGTAATCATCAAAATTATAGAAAAAAATCTATTTTATGGGAAATATATTACCGAAAATGTTGTTGGTTTTGGGCCTAACTTGTTCAAATCATTATCTGGGTATCCAATATCCGGTGATACTATTATCCTGGAGTGTGTGGGCATCAATAATATGGTTAAAAGTTGTGTTCATACGTTTAGAAATTGTGGTTACAGAAATGTGGGACTGACCTTCTAACTCCACCTAGCCGCATGCCTGTCATAGCCTCCTCAAAGGCTGGTATTACCTAATTCATGTTATTAAGAATGCTACTTGTCAGCAAGTAACAAATAGTAGAATTAGACTACACAATGGAGCACAAACTTCTAATTGTAATTAAGTGTAAGCGTTCTACTCACCCGAGTTTTAATGTTGTTGTTTTGATCACAGACAAAGTTACTTTGAAAACAGTAACTACCAATATATTTGAAGCGTTTAGATTGGATACTGGCAAGTTTTCAAATATATAATTTTGTGGTATGTAGAAATATATAATTACAGAAGTTATTTGTCAAAGTTGTATGTTGGAGATCATGCAGACGTCCAAAAATGGTAACCCTAAAGCCACACCTCCTTCCAATGGACACAAACATCATTCATCAGATTCGTTTGTGTCACTCAAATTGTGGAGATCTTTGGGCTTGGCACTATGAGAAGACAGGCTCCTTTTCACTGTCCAATCACGTTACAAGTTGCTCGTTGACACAAAAATTCAGCACGAAGCTTGGATTAATGGTGAAATGGAAAACTCAAACTTTGAGCTACGGGAGAGGGGGTGGAAGCGTCTTTGGAAAACAAAGGTTCCGCCGCAAATCCCCATGTTCGCATGGAGACTCTATCGGTCTTCTCTAGCAACGGACGAGGTGCGAGCTCACCAAAATATGGAGCCAATGATACTTGGAGTCATTCACTCCTCGACTGTAACATGGTGGCAAGTGTTTGTGGATTGAGAGATGATGATTCTTCATTGCTGATCTATGGAGATACAACACCAGATGCAAAATTATGGCTCTCCAAGTAGAGTGAGACGCTGAGAGTGAGAAGTTCATCGAAATCCTAGTTACTCTGTGGGCTATTTGGTAGGCTCGGAGGCGCATTATACATGAGAATGAATACCAGACTCCACTCTCAAACCACACATTCATAACCAGATACATTGAACAGATTACCACACTCGGAACGGCTATGCAGGGGCCAACACCGATCAGACACCGGGCAACGCCACGATGGATTCCTCGGCCACAGGGGTTCATGAAACTAAACGTCGATGGAGTAGTGGCAAAGACGATAAACCAAGGGGCGGTAAGGGTTGTTTGTCGTGATGAGCATGGCACGTACCAAGGAGCATCAACGGTAACGTATGCTGGGATCACGCACCCTAAACTACTAGAGGTTATCACATGCCGGGAAGCCGTTTCTTTGGAAGACGACCTAGGCCTTTATAAGATTCACATATCATCAGACTGTCCGAGAATCATCCGGGAACTTGAGTTGCCAAAGAACTTCGGAGGTCACTACATGGTTCTGCATGACATCAAGGAAATGAGTAACTCTTTCGGGTCATGCAACTTCCACCACAAGCAGTGCAAAAGCAACAGGGAAGCACAGAGATTAGCAATAATGTGTTCTCCCTTCATGTGGGATGATACGTGTGGCTAAATTCTCCTGCAGAAAATTTGTGTGTCCCTGTAAACTTTGATACTACATAATAAAGTCGCACTGTTTCATCTATAAAAAAAGCAGACACAGGCTGCCCGCTGAATCTCTGCTTGCGAACCTGTGACAGCTTTGCCACAATTTCAATCGGATGAACCTAATAGAAAGGGCCACAATTCAGAAAGAAATCCGCCCCACATCTCACCCCTACAAGATGTGGAGATAACATTTTCTGGAAGCAGAATATGACATGGGAGTTTGAAAGGTGAACCGTGGGCAAGTCATCAAGTAGTTCCTAGCTACAAAAATAGCCGATGTGCTGCTACTTTTCCTGATCCTTCCCAACCCCATAGTATGCTTCGATAGAATACCAAGTCCTTGTTCATCTTGTAGGAGTAACAAGCATAGAGTATTGCGCTAGCACCATTGGAAAAAGTGTGGCATATATATTGATATGCCACATACAATGTAGGCCACGTCTCTAAATTAGAAGAGTAATGTGCTTGACTCATAAATATGACAGGCTGATGTATCTTGAGTAGCACATGGTCATTATGGTACTGGAGTGTTGTGCTTGTGTTCAGTGGTGGCTCTCAGTGAGTCAGTAGGAGGAGTTCCTGGAAAGGTATTTGCTATGTGTATAAAAACACATGTATTAAAATTGAAAGCGTGAAATCAAGTGTGAACAAATGTGCGAATTACCTTAAAATTAAGACACTAATTAACAACTTCACCATTCAGGCAAAAGGATCACGTACTCATGAGTAGGGCCATATGTGGACCAAGTGAAAAGGTTCCAAAGCTATAACCCAAAAATATTTAAACCCGGGAAGGTCAAAACTGAGGTCACCCATCTCAAGAGAATACACGAACAGTTATCCAATGCCCCCTACCCATGAGAACTCAAGCCACACTGCGAAATTTCCATGGTATTCGGCGCCAAAAGAAAGCCATGTTCTTACAACACAACTATAGTCAATTGTATTGGCTCCACAAAAATTGTTGCTGCCGACTTCACTCCCTCACTGCTGAGACATAGCGGTCGTCACTCCATCGGTGTTGATGGTACAACAGCAACTGACGAGGACTCTCTGGTCAAGGCCGTGCATAGGACGGCAGCCCGCAACCTTGACTTCAAAGGTTATTCATGCATGTATGTGATGGCTCCGTACTTAGTGTATCCTGCCAAGGCCAGAGGACAGAGACATTTTTATAATGGCGTCTACACGGCTGGAGCATACGGACAGGGAGTTTTTCTCCCTCCATGGATGGCGGTGTAATCTCTGGATAGGAACTGCCGCACCCTAGGTTGGATTGACTTATTTTTACTGTAAAACGATGATTATTTTTGGGTCTGTCGGACTTGTTGGTTTTGTGCATCTCGCTATGCAAAGGCCAGGCATTTTTTTGATTTGGTTGTATCACCTCGATATATCAATTCAATGAAATTTCCTTTATTTTAAAAAATAGGTATATGATATATGCTGTTTAGACCACAAATTCAAATAAGAATAGTAATGTGCACGAGTCATGGGTGCGACAAACACACCAGGCTAATGCTATCTTTGGTAACACATGTACATCATGGTATTATAGTGTTTTGTGTTCATTGATGAATGCAATGTTCTAAAGCGAAGTTGATACAAGGAGTTACTAAAAATCTCATTCATAGAAATTTAATGAGTGAGGGGCCCAAACATGAACAAATGTGTGACTAAGTATAAACACAACAAGTAAAAACTTCACAGGTTGGCACAAAGATGACCTAGAATGAATAGGACCTTAGATCAAATGACACGAGGTTTGGAAGCTCCAAATCAAGATCATTAAAGTTAGAGAAGGTCAAACCTACTATCACAATATATCTGGAAGAAAACTTAAAGCGGGAAAACTGAAAATTCAGCTCAAAGGATCAAATGTTGGTTGCCGGCGAAATTTGGTATCTAGAAATCCAGTCCTCTCATTGACAGAGTTAAATGATTTGGTTCGAACACAGAAATTCTGCAACAATGTCTCATGAAACAGCATGATTTCGCACACAAATTTGGGAAAAACGTATCTTCAGATTCGAGCGTAAGACATGCACACATAAGGGACATAAAATAAAACAGGATAAAACACAGAAGAACAAATGACTATGAGATAAATTTTGCACTATACTTGCTGCATTAATTTGGCAGATAAAAAAATACACACTGGAGAAAATATCAGGGAAAATCCACTCCGTATGCTTGATTCATGAAATTATAATTCAAAATAAACACAATTCGAGACAGTGTCCGGTCAAATTTGATTACAGATTATGGTCATGCCACAGAGGCTGAGGCTTTCAGCTCCTAGACATGGCGAAAAATTAAGAGCAAAACCATTGAAGCATATGTTGTTAGTTGCTCATGTTCTCTCTTGAGTGTATTATGGATATGTGGTTCCCTCTCTAACCCTAAGATATAGGCTTTAACATTAATCTAAGTAGTGTACAAAAAAAGGCAGGAAATGCTGCATCCTTTTTGGAATATTACATAATTTTTCGTGTGGCGTAAGTTGTGTGATGTAAGTATTTATCTATTAACCCAATCTAGGGAGTGTGAAAAAGTTGTCTAATTCAAGAATAGATAGGATCTATCTGGTTGCACTTTAAAATTCTTCTTAGTACTCCCTCCGTCCCAAAATAAGTGTTTTAAATTTGCACTAAGGTTGACACACTTATTTTGGGACCGTGGTGTTATTTTCCAGTAACAACAAAATGGGTCCGCGATATGAATGTTTTTTGTTGATACTCAAGTATATAGTATATACAGTACATTTACATATCCGATGGCCATCAAAGGATTTGATTGCATGCTCAAACAGTATGCTCCTTTCCTCCCAATGGTTATCGAAATTACCCTGCAATAGCCCAAGCTTCTAACTTTTTATTCAGTTGAACAAGACAAAATGACAAGTAAGATTTACTTTGGGGAAAGGGAGGAACCTCGTATACTATTGACTTGGAATTATTCTGATAAGCTCAATGTCAAACAGGAGAGTTTTATCTATTAATCCTTGATTCCTTAGAACGAAATCTAGAGCTCTTTGTCCCTGTAGGAAAAATAAGGTGCCTTTGTTATGTAATCATCAAAATTATAGAAAAAAAATTCTATTTTATGGGAAATATATTACCGAAAATGTTGTTGGTTTTGGGCCTAACTTGTTCAAGTCATTATCTGGGTATCCAATATCCGGTGATACTATTATCCTGGAGTGTGTGGGCATCAATAATATGGTTAAAAGTTGTGTTCATACGTTTAGAAATTGTGGTTACAGAAATGTGGGACTGACCTTCTAACTCCACCTGGCCGCATGCCTGTCATAGCCTCCTCAAAGGCTGGTATTACCTAATTCATGTTATTAAGAATGCTAGTTGTCAGCAAGTAACAAATAGTAGAATCAGACTACACAATGGAGCGCAAACTTCTAATTGTAATTAAGTGTAGGCGAACTACTCACCCGAGTTTTAATGAAGTTGTTGTTTTGATCACAGACAAAGTTACTTTGAAAATAGTAACTACCAATATATTTGAAGCGTTTAGATTGGATACTGGCAAGTTTTCGAATATATAATTTTGTGGTATTTACAAATATATATGATTACAGAAGTTATTTGTCAAAGTTGTATGTTGGAGATCATGCAGACGTCCAAAAAGGTAACTATTAGGAACCAGAGGGAGTATTTGAGTAGTACTCAGTGCTTATTAGTAAATCACCTGTCCTGATCCAAACTTGAACTTGAAGAATTCTTTATCACCACCCTACATTGAAATGCAAAACGGGGGCATTGATCGAACTGAAGGAATAACTCAGTTTGTACTTCAACAAATATATATGCCAAGGAAGCTGCGAATCTTTTTTGGTTCATCTTCAGGCAGCATTTGTACCTCAAACGAACCACCTTTGGTCTTGTTTCGAGCTTCAAAAATGCGCCCGTAGTATCCAATTGTGTACCCATCCCAATCAATCTGATGGGCATTCACAAACCCAAGTCAACATCGTGGACAAATAAAGCTGAAGAACATACATGCAAAATACTCACCACTACTGTCTCTCCCTTCTTTGGGGATGGGCCCTCTCCAACCCGCAAGTCCTGTAATTCCTCGTGAGAATTGTGAACCTAAAAAATCTGAACTTTTGAGTATTATGCAGGAACCATCGAATGGCAGTGTAAGCACCTTGTATTGGAGGCCTGATTCTGTTTCAGTGTAATCTGGGTAACTCATTTTCGTCTTCCCATAATCCTTCCCACGAAGCGCTGGCACTATAATTGCAACATCAAAGAGTTACGCTTGATTGCACATTTTACTTATGAACACCTATATGAGTTTTGAACGGAAAACTAGACAACTTAAACTTTTAAATAGAAGCTCATTTAGCAGCAGTTAGCTATATATGTCAGCCCCCAGTACCTTCTTAAGTTGAAAGATTTTTCTGTAGTACCAAGAGACAAACCAACAAAATAATGTCTAATAAACATGTGAAAAACAAGGTATGACAGATCACGGACTTAAGGTAAAATTATTTTTAGTCTAACAAGTAATGTCTCTTCTACAATGTCATTGTAGCAGATTTCAGTAAACAAGCATTGATGATACCTGATACCTATGAGGTTTACAAATACAGGTTGAAACTTCAAAGGATGTGTTATAGTAGAGAAAAACCTGTCTATTTTCAGATGGGAGGATATTGATTGAAAACTCACTGTCAGTAAATTCAGCTTTTGCTGCTCCCTTCTCCAGACTGTACTGAAGGGAGCCAATGGTGAGACTAATTGCAGGAATCAACAGTAGTCTCCTTCTTTCTAGCATACCACCTGTAAAAAGGTAGTAAAAGAACAAAGCCAAGGTCAGTACCATTTGAAATATTGTCAAATCAGTAGAATTAATAAAACTAAATTTAGTTTCCAAAAGAATCCGTGTCCTGAAATTATCCCAGGGTCGTTGAAGACCACGAGAATCGTCTTATCAAAAGGCGTCTCTGCTCTTCGGCGGCTAGAGATCAAGCTTCAAAGTACAAGATCAGGAGCCCCAAATGATGCTGCCTAAAGAGGCCACAAATGACAATTTTGGGTTTCAGAGGACATATACATATGTTTCTTAACGACATATTTTGGTTCCACGCAAGTTGGATGGTCATTTGCTATTCAGTTCCGGATTGTTTTATTCAGAGTTTTTCCATCCATACAAATGTAACAGGTACCCTGATTCCAAAATACAGTTTACAGTTCTGTATTTTCAACATTCGGACAAACTACATTCTGCTTCTAAATCCTACTGGCCGTATTAACAATCACATCTTACAGAAACTTCACAGTCCTTGACAAGGGGCGCACCGCACTCAACACGGGCAATGCGCTTCAGTTCGACCACTAATCTTTGTAGACAGCAGTGCTAGCAAATCATCTAAACTAGGATCGACAAGTGCCTCAAACAATCTGCAAATGTCCATCGAAGCAAGCTAGAGCTGCTTACCGTGGCAAGAAGAGATGACCCGAGCACGGCGGCGGCGGCCAGGAGAGGAGGAGAACTCGAAGGTGGAGTGAGCAGGTCTTGTCCGATGAACAGCCCGCTTCGAGACGGACGGCGGAGCGGCTGGGCGGGGGAGGAGCGTCGCCTGCCGGCGAGGCGCCGGGAGGCCGGGACGGCACGCCGGGGATGACATGGGGACGGACGCGGGGAGCCACAGAACGGTCGTGGTGGGATAAGAGGTTGCAGCTACAAGAAACTCTGCAGTTTTGCAGTGTGGCATCCGACGGCCGCCAAAGAACCGTGGACCTTAGTCATGGTAATTTTCCTCTAAAACACATTTTTTTGGTTTTATTTTTATTTTTATTTTCCCTTTTCCTTTTTTTATTTTTCCTAAATGTGTGCTCTTTTTTAAAAATTGCAAAAAAAATCAAATTCCTGAACTTTTCATAATTCCTGCAATATTTTATTTTGCAAATTTCGTTTTCAAATTTTTTTGTTCAAAATTTCTGAACATTTTTCAAATTTTCGAACTTGTTTTAAAAATTCATGTGCATTTATCAAATTTATGAATTTTTTTAATTTAAGATTTTTTCCCAAAATTGGTGATTTTTTTTGAAAATTATGAATTAATTTTGAATATTTTCCCACAACTGAACGTTTTTCCCAAATTCATGATTTTTTTTCCTTTTCGACAGTGAATGGTCAACAGATTTTTCAGACTTTTTTCAAAATGCCTGGTTCTACGAATTTGTTATCTTTTTCTACTGCATGAATTATGTTAGGTTTTGTTCTGATCTCCTTTAGCTTCCCAAAGCTTCACAAATATGGCTTCTCACAGTAGCTTCTAACTCTAAGCAGTGATGGAAAAATATGTTCGGCTCGGTTTGCAGCTTTTCCCAGCGATACAGCCCAGCTGGCAAGGTTGTGGCCTGTTCGGGCTAGTTGGGCCGACTAAAGGCAGTCCAAATTGGGCCACCTACAGCAACAACGAGGGATCACGAGCCAGGGAACGAGGAGGATATGTCCCAGCGAGCGTACTAGTTATTTTTTTTTGAGCATCAGTACAGACACAAGCGCTCATATACACGCGCATACACTCACCCCTATGAACGCACACACGCACACCCTACCCCTATGAGCACCTCCGAGAGACTGAGCCGGCATATCATCTTGAAATTTACGAAGTCACCGTAGGCGCCTCGTCGTCAACGGGAACGTCTCTTCCCACTGAAAGCGCATCGCCGAAAATTCTGAAATAAATTCAGGAATAATGCGAGCATCAGGATTTGAACCCTGGTGGGTTGGGGATACCACTGTCCACCTAACCAACTCAACCACAGGTTGATTCGCACGAGCGTACTAGTTCGATGGCTTGACTTGGTGGTGGCAGTTCAGTTGTAATATTGACTAACTCCAGCTTTCCATATAGGTGGAGCTGGGCCAAGGCTGCTTCACGATTTTGCACTACCATTGAGCGTAGCTTTGAGAAGCCAGCTTCTCGAAGTCCAAACATCCAGGACAATTTCATCCGTGGAGTTTGTGAAGCGTGTAGCTGGAGGAGATCAGAACAGGTCCTTAGTATAGTAAGTATAGCGAGCAAAAACTGCAAAGATGGCGGACGAGTGAGAGGGCGGAGAGGGAATTGAGTCGCGGCCCACAAACTAGCCTACCAAGCGTGTGTTGCCCTTTTCGGCACCTGAAGTGCCGAATAGGACGTCTTCGAGTGGGACTTCCTATTTGGCGCCTTTAGCTTCGACAGAGCCTCTATTCCGCGCATTAAGAGCTAGATCGCTAGCCAGCGCTCACGCTATCGTCAAATGGGTCGACCAATTTAAATTGCTCCTAGAACATCGCTTGATCGCTCAACACACATCGGCTTGCATGTTCGACCCCTCCCACTGGTTCGACCATTTGAAAGAACCGGTCAACCGTTCACCGCTTGACCATTTGATGATTGAATTTTATGAAAATTTCACAGGATTCAAAAAGTTTCAAGTTTGGAAAAATATAAAAATGCTCATGAACTCAAAAAAAATCCGTGAACATGAAAAATGTTTCTGAATTCAAATAAAGTTGGTAGATTTGAAAGAAGTTCACACGTTCCAGAAACTTGTACATGGTTTGAAAAAAGTTCATGGATTTAAAAAAAACATGGATTCAAAACATATTACTGGAATTGGAAAAAATCCTTGATTTAAAAAAAATTGTGTATTCAAAAAAGTTCAGAGATATGAAAAAATCACGAATCTGAAAAAGGTTCATGCATTAAAAAAGTTTTGGATTTGAAAAATGGTCATGGATTTGGAAATTTCATGAAATTGAGCAAAAGTTCACACATGTGAAAAAAATCGCGAAATTAAGAAAATGAAAAAAAAAATGTTATACAACACCCAATGAATTCAACAAAATTTCATGAATCACATTTGAACATGTGATGGATGCGCTGTCAAGAAGTAAAATAAAATAAAATTAATTGGCTTTGCCCAAGGTGGAGGGGGTGTGCTCCGTTTTGCGGATTTGCATATAACTGGTGCTAAGGATACCAAATAGGATTTGGGCAAGCGTCGAGTGGGGCAGTAGTGCTCGCACGCAATCCTAGCGGGACACGACCCAAGTTATTGCTTCGCTTGGCCTGCCTCGCTTGCAATTCAGGGAATACTAGCATCTACTGGTTCAAGGAAAAATCAACCTCAAAAAACTTGTAACCTCAGAAAATGTTTGTAGATTTTAAGAAAAAAATCCGGATTTTTAAAAACTGCAAAAGTTTAAAATATTCATGAATTTAAAAATGATACAAATTGGGAAAAATGCAAAGTAATTAAAAATACTGATGATTTTTTAACACAAAAACTGAGTAAATCAACCTGGCAAAAACACAAAACGAGAAAAGAAAAATGGCCAGAAACTTTCGGAAACTTCACAAAACAGGAAGAGGGTGGAGGCTAATGGGTCGGCCTATTACAGCTTGTCACTCGAGTTGCACTTTGGTGCTAGATTTAACGTACCCAGTCATGTGGAGAGCAACTAATTGACGGATACCCCTTCACGGAACAAGGAGCGTGCCAGCGTGCGACATGGTGGGTCCCAGCGTCACCACATGTTGCATGCTGGACTCACACACAAGCGCATGTTTTTTTTTTGCACACATTTTTTGTGTTCTTTGGATTTTCAAATTTTGCATGGTTTTCCCCTAGTTTTGTTTTTAAAAGGTGTTTTTCTCTCGTGAAGTACACGGTGTTTTCCCCTAGTTGTACTTCTTGGTGAAGTATAGTTGTGCTTTCGTGTGAAGCACAACTATGCTTCTGACAAAAATGAAAAGCACGGTTGTGCTTCGGTGAAGCACAACTTTGTTTCCCCAACGTGAAAAAGCACAATTGTGCTCAGTACAGGTGTGTTTCGTAAAAAGTGAAAACAAAGTCGTGCTTCACGGCCGAAAAGTGAAAAGGCACAAAATGTGTTTACGGGTTTTTTATTATCTTTTTTGAAGTTTTTGATTTTTTATTTCCTAATTTTTTTAGTTTTGTTTTGGTTTCTGTTTTTTAAAATAGTATGTCCAAATCAAATAACTTAGGATTTAGTTTTGAATATCTCGACGTGATACCCCGCAAAAAAAAGAATACCTCGACGCGAGAAACGCAACTGTGAAAACGACTCGTGATCTGAACGCATGGTATTAACCTTAACATGGGATCTACTTTCAAAGATCTTGACGCAAGAAACACAATGATGAAAATGACTCATGATTTGAATGTACGATTTAAGAGATAAAACATTTTGAAAAAAAAATCTACAAGAAAAAATACAAAACTACAAGTATCACACATGTAGTGTGTCACTTACTACCAAGGAAGATGAGAGTGACATTTGCAAGGGCCAAGAGGTACTGTTTTTAGTGATTTGGACTTACATGTCTCGGTTATGGCTGTGGCCCTTACAGAGGCCTTGGGCCTTGTGCGAATATAATACTTTTATTTTCGTAGGTGATGCGGTGGGCCTATGGCCACCGTCCACAAGCTCAAATGAAAACTGAATGTTCTCCCAAAAAATATGAATTCTGAATGAAAAAAAATGTTTTTTTAAATAACCACAAATCTCTGATACTTTCCAGGTTTTGGTCCCCCCCCCCCTCAAATCTCAAATCTCTGGTACTTTTCACCGATTTTCCTTCAAGTATTTTCTTTAGTAAGTCAAATAAGTACTTACCAAATAAAAAACTTTTTTTACAAAGTCAAATTAAGATGTGTAGATAAATCATGATCTTTTTCCCGGCAAACTTTCTATATATTCATCTTCAATCGTGACAGTACAACGGACACAAAAAATAATAAAAATTACGTCCAATTTGTAGACCACCTAGCGACGACTACAAGCACCGAAGCAAGCCAAAGCACGCCGCCGTCATCACCTCTCCCTCATCGGAGCCGGGCACAACTTGTTATAGTACATAGTCGAAAAGTTATCGTGCTAAGGCCTCATAGGACCAACGCACCAGAACAGCAACCGCCGTCGATGAAGATAAATCACGAATCTAACATACTCCCTCCGTGTGTGTGTGTGTGTGTGTGTGTGTGTGTGTGTGTGTGTGTGTGTGTGTGTGTGTGTGTATATATAAGTCTTTTTTTAGAGATTCCAATATGGACTACATACAAATGTGAGTATAGATTCACTCATTATGTTCCGCATGTAGTCCATATTGGAATCTCTAGAAAGACTTGTATCTAAGAAAGAAGGGAGTACTGTTTACACACCTGTTATCTACTACTCCCTCTGTAAAGAAATATAAGAGTGTTTAGATTACAACTCTAGTGATCTAAAAGCTCTTATATTTCTTTACGGAGGGAGTACCTCCTTAACTAAAGATAAGACATCTTTTACGGTTCAGTTTATATCCATTTTTCAAAAACTCAAACGTGGAGCACCGGATTTGAGTGGTCTACACTCTACAGTGCCCTACTAACCGTAGCCGTGTTGACAGTTACTGCCCCATTATTCCGGTAGACCAATGGGGTCGAGTCATTGTGCCCCTGCCTTCACGGAAGCGCCAATGCAGTGTAAACACGTCACAGCCACAGCCACAGCCATCCTCCCAGTCATAGAAAAGGACTCGACGCGCCTCTGGCGGTGATCCCACTGGTCAAATTTTCTAGTGGTATACAGAAGAACAGTCAGACATCAGCCTTCTGTTCTTGTTCC